TTTTCAGGAATTTTTGAAATTTTCAGATTTCAAAGATTTGCTGATTGGCGTTCACTTTGGACTGCTTTTTGGACCCAGAAATCCTAGTTTTTGGGACTTTCTTTTAGATTTTTTTCCCTATTTCTTCTTATACCAAATGTCTAATTTAGTCGAATGAGAAGCCTGTCGACCTGTCTTCCCGTGTGAAACCTGACACCACTCCTGGCAAGAAACCAGTATCTTTTCACTCCTTTCTTCTTCTTCTTCTTCTATTTTATTCGATTTCTTTCTCATTTCCCATTTGACCCCTTTCTCTGGGAGAGAGGGAATCTGGTTTCAGTTTTTTNGTAACGAGTACCGTTCTATCAATTTTCAGACCGGAAAAATCAAAAATGAGTCTTTAAAAAAACCGGAGAAAAAAGCAATTTTGCTTTCGAAAAATAGCAAAAAAAACGCTATTCTTCGGAGTTTTCATTTTTGGCGGGAATTCAAAAACAATTCCAGAACCTTCTAGAAGTTTCCAAAAATGGACTTTGAAGCGATTTTTCCTGAATTTTTCCTTTGTTGCTGTATGAATCTACATATTTTTGGACACATTTGTATGGAAACCTTCAAAACTGCAGGTCATTTTTCAAAGCAAATCTAAAATTAGACCATAGTTAAAATTGCTAAATGTCATATTTCCGGGAAGAGGTGTTTTCTTGGAAACAGGAAATTACATCGTCGCCCCATTAGTTCCGAAGGTCATCTGGAGTGCGCGAAAACATCTTGTTTTTTTCGAACCTTGGAATATTCGATCTACAGTAATCCATCGTATAGAAAGAGGGAACCCGGAAAACGAATGTTGTCTTGAAAACACAACAACAACACCCCGTGTTGATAACACAACACAACAGGTGTCTCCGAGAAACTGACACAACAACACAAAACAACGAGTGTGGTCAGAGGCATCATCTATCGGCAAACGATCCAACAATGTACATAATATATCGTATATTTATGCATATTACTTCTCCGTCATCCCGTGTCGCCTGCCTGCAACCTTATTAGTAATACTCTCCCGCGCCATTGACAGTTTTCACGGGAGACATGAATGCGTCTGCGTCTCGCTTACAATTCTCAATTTCATCTTCTCCCGATCATCATCGCTTCAACCATCGTCATCTCTGCGTCTCCTACTCTCTACACACTGATTTTCACACAAGCTGCGTCTCTCTCTCTCCCACTCGATCGCAATACCTAGAGGGACGACGGGCGGGCGCCCTTGGCTCACTGGAGAGAAAGAGAGAAGAATCAGCAACCATCTTCTTCTTCTTCTACTCCTACTCCTGCTTTGATTTCGAGATCTGATCAAGAGATTTAAGAAATTCTAATTTATTTTTTCTTCCTCTCATCTGATTTCCTATTATGGACGCTGCCGAGATCGAGGTGGCGTTCAACAACTCGGATATTGTTTTTTCCCTATTTTCCCCGTTTTCTCCAGCCAGAACCACTTTCAAAGGTGAGATATTGGCCTAGATCATGACCTTGTCTATTAGGCCCTACCTAAAAATGTTTGGCCTAAATCCCATTAGTGATGCAATAGAGTGGGTAAGTGTTAGGTTATGTACCCGACAAATGAGCAAACAAGAGAAAAGTAGAGATTCTCATCTCGCAAGGAGGCTTTTTCATCTTGCTAAACCGCACGTTCAAGTGTCGAAGATCTCTATTAGAAAGAGTTTTTTCAAATGGTCAGTGATGAAGGGGTAACTGTATTTTAGGGATTTTTACTATTTCAGTCAGAATCACAAAAAGAAACAACTCGAAGACCACTCACAGGGTGGTTTGAACTTCTGTGGTATGCTGTTGCGCTCTAATGAGAAGGTGACGTGGCGATGTTTTGGGCCTTTTAAAATTTAAATTTCCCCACAATTTTTGTTACTTTT